TCTTCCGATGTTCTTATGAAGGACTCGGCCTCTCTGCCCTGTTGTTGGCCCTCCAGAGGAACTGGTTGGCCACTGTGTGAGACGGGACTACTGGTCTGATCCAGCAGGGCTCTTCTGATGTTCTTATATCCGTTTCCCCTCAACTTTTATGTTGCATTTGCTTTGTATGGGTTGCAGGTCCTTTCTTTGCCTTCCCCTGGAAGTCTCCTCCTGACACAGGTAAGTGCTTCATTCGCAGAACAAATCCAGAGGATCCAACCGAAGATGAGGCAGCCATCTGCAGGTAGTGGATTTGGGGCATCATGCCCCATTAATCAGCTCTACCCGGAAGGTCTCAGGAGGAAGCCCCCCTGAAAATGCCTGAGAACTGTACAAGCGAAAGCACAGTGGTTCAGTGTGGTCTCTGCATTAGACCTTTCTGGTGGACTGACCCCCATATTAACTAGCATTTTTGCATAGGGGTGTGTGTGGTGGGGGCGTCCTCCTGTATCAAACCAGGCAGACGTTTCAAACGGATTAATAAATTCAAGCCTTCTTCTGCATAGATTAAGCACCATTTTTGCATCAACCAGGTTAGGGTGACGGGTCTTCAAGACACACGTACAGACAGATCAACAGAAATCTTTGCAGCGAGAAAAGACAAAAAATGGCTTCCTTACTTGTAGCTTCCCCCAGAGGCGACATTTTATGCATCCCACGCAGTCCATAATCCTTGAAATGTTCCTAAAATGGAGCCGAAACTCCTCCTGGAGGGGGCGAAATGAAAAAATTATCAGGGTCTCAGACGGAGGTCTTTCACATCACCTACTGCCAAGGAGATGCCGGGGAATTGAACCTGGAACCTTTTGCGTGCCAAGCAGACGCTCTAACGCCGAGCCACGGCCCCTCCCCAGTGAGCCCCACCACAACGGTGGTCCTCGTTCCTGACGAGTCCCAAAGTAGCAGAAACTACCAGCGACAGAATTTCCCCCTCACTGTCCTTCTGAACAGCCCAGCAGGCCTCACAGGGTAGAGACGTGACAATTCCCTGGCAGTGGCAAGTTGACGTTTCTGGTCACCTGAGGCGGTGGCTATTTGCCACGGTCCTCTCCCCCTTTGCCCACACGTCACCGCTGCTGACACCGCTCCTGCCCAGGGACGGATAATCCGTCTCTCTTCAGAAATAGAGCAAGCGGGCAACGGGAGGGCCTTCCTGAGCTCTCCCATGATTCCACCCCCTCAGCCACCATTTTGCTTGCCCTAGCGACAGGCAGCTCCAGGGCTATTTTTGGGCAGGAACGCACAGGAACGGAGTTCCGTCTGGCTCCCAAGTTGGCCACGCCCAGCAGGAGCTCATTAGCATAATAGGCCACACCCAACAGCAGAAACTCATTGGGATTGGCTACAATTAGGGGTGTGTGGCCTAACATGCAAAGGAGTTCCTGCTCCAAAAAAAAGGCCCTGGGTTTTGTCAACTGGCTGGATGACCACACTTCTCGTAACAGGGGTGTGTGGCCTAATATGCGAATGAGCTGTGCTGTCAGGGGTGTGGACTAATATGCTAATGAGTTCCTGCTGTTGGGTATGGCCTATTATGCTAATGAGTTCCTGCTGGGCTTTTTCTACAAAAAAAGGCCCTGGCGCAGCTCTGTGTAGCGAAGGAATCTCCCTCAGAGGAACGAATCTTATTTGGGAACGGGCACACGTAGATTGTCGTACTAGCTTTTACAGAGGTCTGGAGGAGGTAAAACGGACAACTTTCTCCAGCTCCCAGGCAAAAGAGACAGACGGGGCTGGCGACACACAGGGATAGGAGGTTGCTCCCCTCCAAACCGGATACCGGAGGTAGTCACCTCAGGCGGCTTCATTATACAGCCAGGCCTCGCTCTTCAGATTCCTGCATCTCCCTCTGGTCTCTCCTAAATTTGGATTCCTAAATTCCCCTGAGGACTCTCGCCCCTTCTGCTTGTGTTTCCTTCAGGGTTTTGCTTGTTATCCCGCTGCCTTTGTCCCTCCCTGCCCACCTCCACAGAGATTTCTGCCATTTAAGCTTCTACTTTCCTAAACCACTTTCCAGACCTCCGTCTATTCCTCACAGTTCTTCCTTTTCAGTGGTCATTTCGTAGAAAAAGAGGTGCAGGGGCTCATTAGCATAACTCATTAGCATAACTCATTAGCATATGCCACACCCCCTGACACCACCGGAAGGGTGTCAGAAGGCAACACCCACTGCTCAGGCTCCACTGGACTGTTTTCAATTGCTAGCTATTGGGGCGGGGGGGGGGGGGCAGGGCGGGCGTCTCTCCCAGTTTTTTGGGTCGTGGAGGTGGGGGGGGGGGGGGGGGGTCTGCAACTTACCTGGCTGCTTCTTGCTCCTCGTGGCCCGACTGAGGGCTGCTGGGAGCAGGAGGCAGGGCTTGTTGCATGTGCCCGCCCCCTGGGCTCCTTACTGCCGGAGCTCCGCTCCTGTGCGCTCCCGCAGGAAATGACCCCTGCTCCTTTTGTGGGGCCTACCTGAAGTTTTAAGCCCAGCCAGACTGACCATTAATCCTTTCCTCACAGAAGATGGACTACAAACATGCTCCCGAGCTTAGACCCTTGAGCAGCTGGAACGTTTGTGGATATCTGATAACGTCCTTCAGACTTCGGCCAATTGCTGCAGAATGTTTTATTTGTCACGAGGGCACCAGATAGACTGTATGCCTACTCTACAAATGGAGAAAAATGCTTTCTGTCTGCCTGAAGAAAAACGTCTGAAGAAAATTTTACCTTTAACTTGGCGGCCTCTCTCTGGTTTCCAGCAAACAGTGAATTTTCGTCGAAGTGCAAAGGGAAAGATCTGAAAGGGAAGGGAAGGATACTTTCAAACTGGAGCCCTTCTCTGAAAATACCTCAAGGATTTTCAGTTTTAAATAATACCATTCAAATAATTTAATTCCCATCTGATTTCACAACTGGCTTCCGGAAAATACTCACCCTTCCCCTCCCTGCAAACAGACAACCTGTGAGGGAGGTGGGGGCTGAGAGTGCTCTTTCGAGGACTGCCCTTGAGAGCAGCTCTGAAAGAACTTGTGACTGACCCAGCATCACACCAGCAGCTGCAGGTGGAGGCATGTTGTATATTCTTATGATTTTAATGCTTTGTTATATTTATGTAAGAGTTTTCGATGATACACCGCCCTTAGCGCTGTCCTAAATCAGATTTAATTAATAAATAAAGCAGGAGCCCTGTCCTAAATCAAATTTAATTAATAAATAAAGCAGGTGTAAGTATCTGAATTATTATTATTTTTTCTTTATCAGCTTTTCCTGGGGCCCCCCCCCCCCCGACCTGCTTGTGCAGCTGCTGTTGGTTTCCACAAACGTCTCTTGGATTTCAGCATATTAAACCTGGTTCCTAGCTTCTTCCAACAAAGGGAAGTTGACAAGTTTCCAGGCAAACGATTCACACGCCACACAAAACGAATCAGTTGTTGCCCGCAGGACAAGCTAAAGGCTGTGGACCAAGATGGCTTTGGAAGGGGGAATCGGCACACTCGTTCACAAGACGGTCAGTTTTTGCTCCTTGTTAAACACTCCACTTTTGAAAAACCATTCTGCTGATTCGCAAACAGACGTGGTTCAGGCTTTATCCCGGACTCCCCTCATTCTCCTACAAACATCGTGTTCCATTTCCCCATCAGTGTGGAGACCGGCACTTTCAGACGTGCACTTTCAAGCCACTCCCAAAGCACTGTAAGGATCGTTTGCAAGTGGACTTCCCCATTCCACACAGTAAAATCCATTTGCAAAGTACAGAGAAAGCAGACTGAAAGTGCATTGTCCAGTGTGTGTGAAAGCATGCATGCGTTTAAGGAGAAAAAGGAAGAGACTGGATTTATACCCCGCCCTTCACTACCCAAAGGAGTCTCAGAGCGGCTTACAATCTCCCTTCCCTTCCACTCCCCACAAGAGATACCCTGTGAGGTAGGTGGGGCTGAGAGAGCTCTTTCGAGGACGGCTCTTGAGAAAACAGCTCTGAAAGAACTTGTGACTGACCCAAGGTCATGCCAGCAGCTGCATGTGGCGGAGCGGGGAATCAAACCCGGTTCTCCCAGACCAGAGTCTGCGCTCCTAATCACTACACCAAACCAGTGTTCCCTCTAAGCTGAGTTAGTGTGAGCTAGCTCAGTTTTTTAGCCTCTGGCTCACACATTTTTGTCTTCGCTCAGGAAGGACGGCTCCAAAGCAAACTGATTGATGCAGCAGCCAAATGGCTCACTCACAACTTTAATGCCGGTAGCTCACAGGACTCCACAGCTTAGAGGGAGCACATTGCCCTGGAGGTCGCTTCCAAACCTGCCTTTCCTCAGGGTTCAAGGTGACTTAAAAGCCAGCCAGTTTGGTGAAGTGGTTAAGTGCACGGACTCTAATCTGGGAGAAGCGGGGTTTGATTCCCCACTTCTCCACATGCAGCTGCTGGTGTGACCCTGGGTCAGTCACAAGTTCTCTCGGAGCTGTTCTCTCAGGAGCAGTCCTCGAAAGAGCTCTCTCAGCCCCACCTACCCCACAGGCACTGTTTCCTCTAAGCTGAGTTAGTGTGAGCCAGCTCACAGTTTTTTAGCTTCCGGCTCACACACTTTTGTCAGGAAGAAGGGCTCCAGAGCAAACTAATTTATGCAGTAGCCAAATCGCTCGCTCACCACTTTAATACGAGTAGCTCACAAAGTAGAGTTTTTGCTCACAAGGCACCACAGCTTAGTAGGAGCATTGCACCGAACTGGCTTTGAATCATCGGAGCTTTACACCAGGTGGAGGGGGAGTTTTGCGCCAAGGAAAGCAGTATCTTGCGACCTGTTGTACAGATGATGCTTTTAGATCTTTGGCCTTCTCTGACGTTATCATTGTGTCCCGCCCCCCAACAGTTCCCCCAAACGTCAACCGTGGCCGCCCGTACTTGACTGAATGGAGAATCTCCAGCAAGAGACTCTTGACTTCTCCGTCTCTGTCTTTGTCGCCTGTGAACAGCTGGAAATCGGGGCGCTCGAAGAAAGGCAAGACTTTGGAGAGGGCCCGTAGCTCGATCAAATAGATAAAGTAGAGGTTCTTCAGCCTCCTGGGGCCCTCGCCTTGAGTCAGGAGCTCGTCGAACCGCTGCTGAAACTCGGTCACGTTGTGACCCCATTGCTTCTTTGACCAGGTGTCTGGAAAAAGGGGGGAAAGGCATTATAGCCGGGCAAAGAACAAAAGCCACGTGAAAAATACCTTTTGCGAAGACCGGGGGGCAATAAAAGCAACACAAAAAGATGGAAGTTTTTGAGTCCTCCAGGGTTTTTCTTCAGGCCGGATGTTAATAAACAGAAAGAGGGGGAAAGGGAGGAAAAGAAGAAAAGTACAGTGTTCCCTCTAAGCTGAGTTAGTGTGAGCTAGCTCACCATTTCTTAGCCTCTGGCTCACAGATTTTTGACTTGGCTCGGGAAGGAGGGCTCCAGAGCAAACTAATTTATGCAGGAGCCAAACTGCTCGCTCACAACTTCAGTGCCAGTAGCTCACAACGTAGAATTTTTGCTCACAAGACTCCACAGTTAGAGGGAACATTGTTCAGGACCCAAACGTGAGAGCTCTTCTCTGAATCTTGAACTGGCGGCCCCTTTTGCCTTCCGAGCACAAGAACGTGGAATGGCAGCCTCCAACTGCAAACTGCTTGCTAGCGGGCACTCAAGTGATTTCAGTGTGTCAGCTAGGCGCTGCCATAGCTGGTGGAAGTGGGGGGGGGAAGCTGATGAATAGTCTGTCGCTCTAATGGAATCTTAAGTTTCGTTTCTTCCTGTCAAGTCTTATCTGCTAGCCTAGGCCGGTGACCTTGGCCCCTTGCTGCTGCTTTCCCGGGAACGCAGACCCGTTAGCTTAGGCGGGCTTTGGCTTATTCCCTGATTGGCTCAGACCCATCAGGGGGACCCCTTCGAATTTTGTGTAACTTTGCACTGTGCGCGCTTTCAATCAGTTCTGACACAGAGTGTATGCACAGATGACCCGCCTTTACTGTACTCAATAAACTTGATCCTTCTGAAGGGGCGTTGTGGAGAACTGATTGCTGCGGGACTCTGACACAACGCGGGAAAGATCTGAACCCGGGACTTCCCAAATCATGGCTCATTCACTTATCCATTTTTCCACATCTGAGATCTCCAGAAGGGTTACCGACTGCCCATTATCTTATTGATCTGATCAGTAAAACTGTTCGAGGAGGTCACCAGTATCGGGGCCTGAAAACCTATCAACTTCAAGTAGTGGACATGCCCATTAATCAGCGTGGATAAAACCTTAATGTGTTCAACCAAAAGTATACTTATATCCAATACATGCTTTACATTAACAATTCTAATTTCCGGGTTTTCACCAGGTCTTTGAACAGCTTGCAACTATATAGCTTATTTTCTAACTGAAATCCCCAACAACAATCAATTGTGCGAGAACGGCGCTGAGAGAACTTGTGACTGACCCAGGGTCACACCAGTAGCTGCATGTGGAGGAGCGGGGAATCAAACCCGGTTCTCTCAGATTAGAGTCTGCGCTCCCAACCACGACACCAAACTGGCTCTCTTCTCTTCTGAGAAGAGTCCAGATAAAACGTCGGCCTAAGGCTTTGGAGAGCCGCTGCTAGTCAGAGCAGGTCTAGATGGACGAAAAGCTTCACGGAGAACGAGGAACGCGTAGCAATGACATTGAGGAATTTCAGACAGACGATATAATCCGGAAGAGGAACGTTTCCCAAACGGTTTCTGGTCTGTCATTTCAGACATATCCATTTTAGAACCGGTTCCCTACTGGAATATATTTGTAATTTCAGACACAAACGCTTCTGTCCCGTTTAGGAAACGAGGCTGAAGCGTTTTACCTGTCAACCGCTTCCAAGTAGTCTTCAGTTTCCTCTCCCGGTTCCGATGCGCTTTTTACCGCTGTTTTTCACCCGTGCGGGCGATCTCCGGCTTTTTTTTGGTGAACGTTCGCTTTATAGCGTTATAGCGCTATAACACTATATCAATGCCATTGGAATGCCTGGAATGCTTTGTTATACTGCTATAGCGCTATAAAGCAAACGTTCCCCCCCCCCAAAAAAAAGCCGGAGATCGCCCGCATGGGCGAAAAACGGTGGGGGGAAAGCGGTGCAGTCTGAAATGGCAAACCGCTTCAGATCCAGCTCTTTACCGGAAGGGGAAAGCCATGTGTGAAATGGCAGCCCTATACCGGTTTACTCCACGACGGATCAAAAACAGCTTCAAAACGGGTTAAAAAGGATCATGTGAAATTCCTCAATCTCTCCTTTCAGTCACAGTGTCCCTCGAGCAAGAACAGGGCTCCTCTGCCCAGACCTTCCTTCTGTTCCTGCCAAATATGGGCCCCAGTCACACAGAGGATTTGCTGCGCGAAAGGCACGAACGTTGGGCGGATTTTCGGGGCGCGATCACACTGCGACACCTGGGAAGCATAGCGCACCCGTGGCGTCCTGCCGAAGATGCGGAGTTAAAAAGTAACAAGGAAAGTGCACTGGTATCCGGAAAAAGCGCAGCACAGGCGGGCGTCTGATCGTGGCAGCGCTAGTATCCCATGGCCTCCAGTGCCCGTCCACATCCCGTCGCAAACTGGATGTTTTTGGTAAGTGCATGCGCACAAACACGAAACTGAAAGCAGTGCTGCTCTGCGGAACTGCGCGTGCGCACAAACGCAAAACGCTTGTGTGATCGCGCCGCTTCTTTGCCACGCTGCGGCATCGCCGTAGGATCGCCAGCTAACAGCCGAAGCACGGAGACTCGGGGGACCGTGTGATCGGGCTACCACGCTTTATTTTGCTCTGGGGCGAATAGCCACACCTGCCCCCCCCACCACCACCACGTTATCTGGCCCGTGTGACCGGGGCCAAGGATTTGGACACTCAGTGTTTCAAGCAGGGAGAGGTACCAACCTTGAAGAAGGTACCTGGCGCTGAGGTGAATGTTGATGCTTGCATGGAGACCGGAGATGAGCTTGTAGAAAGCCCGCTTCTCCACACAGAGGCCTGCAAGGAAGGGAGAGAGCTTGATTTGCTTGTTTTTAAAAAGAGCAACGGCCCTTCTGGCACCAGGAACGGCTGCACTGTGGCAAAAAATAAAAACGGGCCTGTGGGCAGTTTCCGCACCTGATCACCTGGCTACTAACAGTGGGAGACAACATTGAGGTTTGGGGCAGACTTTGGATACCAAGGGTGGGGAAGAGCATTGAATCAGGAGGGGATTTCACATTTTGGTTTGGGAAATCCGTCTACCTCTATTCTGGGGATTCCCGACCTACGATCATAGAGTTGGAAGGGACCTCCGGGGTCATCTAGTCCAACCCCCCCACACAATGCAGGAAATTCACGAATACCTCCCCCCTCAGTAACCGCTGTTCCATGCCCAGAAGATGACAAAAAACCCTCCAGGATCACTGGGGGGCAAACTGGCCTGGAGAAAAACTGTTTCCTGACCCCAAACTGGCGATCAGCATTCCCCTGGGCGTGTAAGAAAGGGCCACGAGAACTAAGCACTGAGGCAACCCTTCCTGCCCTCCCTTCTCATGGTCTGCCCGAGTTCACAGAATCCGCATTGCTGTCAGATGGCCATCTGGCCTCTGTTTTAAAACCTCCAAAGGAGGAGAGCCCACCACCACCTCCCGAGGAACCCTGTTCCACTGGGGAACCACTCTAACTGTCCGGAAGTTCTTCCTAATGTTTAGTTCTTCCTAATGTTTAGCTGGAAACTCTTTTGATTTAATTTCAACCCGTTGGTTCTGGTCCGACCTTCTGGGGCAACAGAAAACAACCCCACTCCATCCTCTACATGACGGCCCTTCAAGTACTTCAACAGTAGCTTTCGTCGGTTTTTGGAGAGGATTTGCTAGGTTTAAACATTCAAGCTCATTGTATTATTAATAGATTAGACTAACATTTTATAAGCTTATGTAAAGATCTTCACTACTTGGGCTTTTAGTGGTTAACTTTTCTTTCTCCTGTAAATGTTAGACTCCCTACCCTATTTTTCTTTGTAGTTTATAGAAAATCAATTTAAAAAATCCCCTTCGGCCCCCCCCCCCCAAAAAAAAGATACCCGGCTCCTTCAACCTTCCCTCAAAGGACTTGGTCTCCAGACCCCTCACCATCTTTGTTTCCTTCCTCTGGACATGTTCCAGCTTGTCTGTATCCTTCTTAAATTGTGATCCCCAAAACTGAACACAACAGCAAAATTACATAGAGAATCTGGTTACCTTCCAACCAGCTGTAAAACATGTTCCCTGGAAATAAACAGACAAAGAGAAAAATCATGAAAAGTGAGTCACAACCAGTGTTCCCTCTAAGCTGAGCTAGTGTGAGCTAGCTCACAGTTTTTTACCCTCCGGCTCACAGATTTTTGTCTTGGCTCAGGAAGGGATGGCTCCAAAGCAAACTAATTTACGCAGCAGCCAAATCGCTCACTCACAACTTTAATGCCAGTAGCTCACAAGGTAGAATTTTTGCTCACAAGACCCCACAGCTTAGAGGGAACATTGCTCACAACGGCAGCTGTTACCAGTTGCAATGGCTGCCCTTTCTGCTGAGGGAGCTCCCACAAGCAATGCCCCAAAGCAGTGCCTCCTTCACACACACCTCCCCAAGAAGTCACAGCTAATGGCTTTTGATGGACCTCTCCTCCTCCATGGACGGATCCTTCCCTGTCTGAAGGAGTGAGCTCACAAATCTCATTCCCTGCCAAAAATTTTGTTAGCCTTTAAGGTGCTACCGGACTCTTGCTCTGGTCTGAGGTCCCAATCAAAAATACACTCACCTTCATTTTCTCCTGGAGCCAAGGCAAATAGAGAGAGAGAGAGAGAGAGAGAGAGAGAGAGAGAGAGAGAGAGAGAGAGAGAGAGAGTGAGGGGCGCGGGGGGGGGAC